AGGGGTCCCTTACAGATTTTCGCCCACCAGATACGACTGCGGCAGCTGTTGGGAATCAGGGCTGCCTGGCAGAGGATCTGCCTCACTAGGTCCAGGATGACTCTCCGTCTATTACAGTGCGGGACGCAACTATAGCAGGGTTAGAAAGTATCAAGGATGGAACCAATACATTTATGGAAACAACATGGCTGAATATGTATCATAATGGTGGAACCAATACTTAATATCGCATAAAGCGAGATGGAACCAATACACTCGAATATGCATGATGGAATCAACATCCTCATATGTATGCTGGAAACACTATGGGTGAATATGTATGATGGAACCAATATCGAGAGAGCGACGGAACCGTACCATGTCATGAACTTAGACCCTGGCATATTCACGATTAGCGATTGGTTCCATCATACCACTTCATACCATGCTTGTTTCCATCATACTATATATACACCCTTATTGGTTCCAACATAATAATTTCTCTAGTAAATAAATTTCCCTTTTATTAAACGCTCCCGCCGCTAGTAGCGAATAAAGATTGAAGGTGTCCACTTTGAGACGCGCACGTGGAGCCCTGAAATTCATAGACCCAACGAGCTTTAGCAGCAAAAAGAAAAATGAGTGAGATCATTCTCGGTCTCGGAACGCAGCGAACGGAGGACGGACTGAACAGCTGCGACGCATCAGAATACGGCAGCGACGCGTTGGACGCGGACACGGAGGTGGGGGAAGATGTGCTTCAGCAGGCCGCGGCGCCTGATCTGGAGCCTCGGGGCGACCCTGAGAACGACGACGTCGTGCCCGAGAGACGCGGGAAGCGGCGACGCGCGGAGGATGCGCAATATATCTTGCGCAGATCAACCCGCGCCAAGGCACCCGCTTCCATGAAAGAAGGCGCCATCAAACTCTTGGCATTTACCGCANAACAATGGACGACGGAACTCAAGGGAAAACGGTTCACACCCCCAGAGGGTACGCGCAGCAACATCGCGAAAGTGTGCCGTCAAAGGGCGTCGTCAGAATGGGTCGTGCACGCTGGGCGAGTCCAATGTCCGCTGTACACGGTCCTGGAGCTCGCCGAAGACGAGAGCTGGTACAAGGAGGCGTACGGCATCTTTAACAAAAGAAAGTTTGGCCTGGGGGCGGTGCCGGAGAATGGCGACCGCGTCACCAAGTTCTACCACAAGGGCAAAGCGCACGACGGCAGCGTCACCAAGATATATCGCGCGGACGTGAAGTATCGGCGGGGAGGGCAGACGCGGCGGATGAAGCTGTGGGAGATCAATTTTGACGACGGAGATTGGGCCGAGCTTTCTGAGATCGAGGCCGTCGCAGCGAGACAAGCATACTTGCGGCGGACCCGAATGCCGACTCTCTTCGGGAATTAGTTCCATTTCGATACTTAGTGTCACCCTTCGACACCTAGTGTCACCTGGCCTGCATCAAGTTTGGCATTGCCTCATAGGGGAACAATCTTGTAATAGCAAGAGAACAAGAAACAGCATGTTTGATTGGACGAGTGTGCCTCAAAGGGATCTGGGCTCTCAAAAACCACATTTACTCGAAAATATTCCATCTGTTTCCATTGCGGGTTGAAGTGCTGCGCAAATGTCAATAAGTATGAACACTTCACTGCAGTGCTATTCGGCTTGGATCGACATTCGCACGCGAGTTGGCACAGTCATACATTAAATTGAAATCCGTCCAAATATTACACCTTCCCGTGAATGAACATTATACAGCTGGATGTCAATTGACTTTCCCTGACATTTTGGCAGGACCAAATCTCGACTTGTCAAAGCACGACTCATAGTGAACTTTGTGAAGTCTTCAAATTTCGACTGAATTAGTATGGCGAAAGGGCCCTTTGTAGCTTCTAGCGTACGCGACTTTGGTGGCGGCGTCTCCCTGGGGATTCCGCGTGCGGCGGTCGCGGCGAACGGCGACGCTTCGGAGGCGTCCAAATGAACTCGTTTTTCATTGGTCGTATATCACCATTCAAAGAGATCTTGGGGAAGCCCTAAGAGGCCGACGGCGCGTCCGCTCGAAGGGCGTGGCGGCTTGCAAGCGAATGAGCGCCGGTCCACGCCCATGCTTCTTAAATGGATTTAGGGAGAATCGGTCTAGTTCGCCATGTCTTCCCACGCGCAGGAAACCGCCATCCGCTTGACAGCTCGCGGCGGCCGAAGCGCGATGCGTCGGCTCACCGAGCCGGCGCTCGATTCCGCCGCGAGAACGCTCGCCTCGCCGCGATGGCCTCGATCTCGGAAAGGCCGGCGCGATCTCCGTCGTCGAAAGCGACGTCCCACAGCTTCATGCGTCGCGCCTTCTCTCCCGGTCGGCGCTGCACGTCCCCGACCGTGACCTCGGCGACGGTGCCGTCGTACGCTTCTCCGTCGTAGAAGAACTTGGTGACGCGGTCGCCTTCGCCCGGCGCCTCCCCCGACCCGAATTTCTTCTTGTTGAAGACGCCGTACGCTTCTTTGTACCATTCCTCGTCTTCGGCGAGCTCCAGGACCGTGTACAGCGGACACGGGGCGTCCCCGGCGTCCACGACCCACTCCGACGACGTCCTTTGGTAGCGCACCTTCGCGATAGCCTTGCGCAGACCATCTTGATCCGTGAACCATTTTCCCGCGAGTTCCTTCGTCCATTGCTTCGTACCAAACGCCAAGAGCTTGTTCGCCGCTTCTTCCGCGATGCGAATCGATTTTCGCGGCATGGTTTGCTCGGCGCATCGGCGCTTTCTTCCCGTTTTTGCGTCGCTTCCTTTCGCGCGGCGCACACGTCCTCGCGTGAAGCCGTAGGCCATGCCCAACCCTCCGATGACAACGCCGAGGCCCGCGATACCTCGAGCGAGCTTACGTCCACTCATCTTCGCTCAATAGTAGCGTGTTCAGTGGCGCCGAAGCTAGAGGTTAGACTTCTACAAGACTTAGTAGTCATCTACAATAGAGAGGTTCAGTTTTGCTTTGGATGATCTTTGGAATAGACCACTGGCGTAAAAAATAGTACACCAGGGAGCAGCCCAGCCGCTCGTGAAGCATGAAGCATGAAGCCGCCGTCGTCGCTGCCCCCCCGGCCCGACCATGGCGGGCCCGCTGCTCGTCTGGGAGTCCGGCGCGACGTTGTCCGTGCACGGCTTGACGGCGGCGCATTCGGGCTCCCGTCCCATCCAGTGTCGGTTGGCGGCGGCGACTTCAGGTCGTACACGAGCACGCTGGTTCGGCGCCCCCTGGCATCTCTGGGTTCGGACCCGCGAGGCCGCCGACTTCCGCGTTCGAGGGGGGCGCATGACCGTGCCGCGCTCCATGGAGGCGCGCTGGCTCGAGACTCTCCGCGGCGCCCGAATCGCTCGCCGCCCCGCGGCGGGCTTTCAGGGCAACCGCGTGCACGGCCGAGACCCACGGCGTCAGCCTCTGCGGCGTGGGCTACGCCGAGCCCAAGCAGACCTTCCCCGGCGACATCATCTGCCGTACCTACGCCTTCGCCGAAGACCTGGCGCGCGCTGTCCAGTCCCGCGCGCCTCGCGCGGGCGTCGACTTAAAACACCGGCGCATGTGACATCTACGGGCGCACTCGTCGGTGGGGGAGAGCCAAGGGGGGCGCCGCCGCCCCCGGGCCGACGGCAGGTCTTTCAGACCTCGCCCTGGCCCCGCTAGACGTCCCCCTCCGCTCAGTCGAATCAACTGTGCTTAAACAGTTCATGAGTCAACCGATAGACCATTGATCGAATGGACTTTCTGAGTAGTCATGAACAGTGATTATGGTGGGCGCCAAAACACCCCCTGGCGACCCTCCCGCTGGACCCCAGCGCATCAGGGGTCCGTCCAACATGTCCTTTGGAGGACCAAAGCTGAAAAGCAGCCATCCATGCCGAAACTCGGCTGTGGACGGGCTGCCGAGCACGACGCGCGCCGCGGCTCAAACCTGGTCAACGACCCGAGAAACGCGCATTGGGGACACCCGCGACCGCTTCGAGACCCTCGCAGACACCCCTCGAGTGCCCCAGCCGCGTAGATCGTCCTCTGGGCCCGGCGCTGACCGCCACGACCACTCGGAGCGTTCGACGCGCGCCGCCGGGGCTGCCACGCGCGCGCGCGTAATCTCGGACATGAGCAATCCGCGGCACGCGGGGAATCTCATCGCGGCACTGTCCCTTCGCGATTCCCCGAGCGCCGCGGATCGATCGATGCCCCAGGACCGACATATCGCCCCTCGACGCGTCGAAATGGCCCGGATCCAGAGGCCCCGTTCGCCCCGAAATCGTGCTCGTCTCTCGAGATCGAGAGCGGCGCGTCGAAGATCGCCCGCCGGCGCGGCGCGGGCTCGAAGGCCGCCGGGGCGCCCGGCGGACCGAGCCGCCGAACGCGGCCGTCAAAGTCGGGCGCTGCCCATCGGATCGGCTTCCCAGTGCGCTGGAGCAGCTAGAGATCTTTACGCCAGTGGACATTGCCGACTGTTGAAGGTGCCGAGCACGGATCTCTACTCCGCAGGACGCCGGGCGCTCGGATGCGCCGAATGATGCTATGGTCGTCTTCGCAGCCCCTCAACTCCGCGAATACGCCGAGATGGGCAACGATCTCAGCAGCTGTATGGACCGAATGCGCACGGATGACGCGCCGGTGAAAACAAGACATCTAGGCGATTCGGTAGGGACTCAGACGGGCGGTTACAGGGAGCGAAATGGGGCGCGCTCGACTCCCCCGACCTCTTAAAGCTGTTTTCGAGCCCACGCAGCACCACGGATCGTTTGTCGTCACCGAGGGGTCGTCTGGTTCGAAGGGTTGGGCAGCGAGACTCGAAATCGTCGATTTCGTCTGGTCGCGGCTCGGGCGCCGCGGCAGCCCGACACCGCGAAGGTTTTTGGCAGCCCCAGCTCCAGGGACGCGAGGAGGTTACCCCACGCCATCCCCGTGTCGACTCGTTCCATCGCCTCCAGCTGCGTCACGCCCCGGGCCGCCAAGGCCTCCTCACGGGCTGCCCCGCCCCCGCCCCCCGCCCCCGCACGCAGCCTCCATGACGCGCCGCGCGCACCGAATGTCGATCCCACGGCGCGGGGGAGCTTCGCCGGCGGGGGGCGGTGGCGGCCCCTGCCACACGCTGGGTTCCCGAGCCCCGTCCGCGAGTTTCTAAAAATCTCCCTTCGATGTCCAAACACGCTTTGGCACGTCCAAAAACCATGGTCCAAACAAGCTTTGGACGACCGCCAAACACGATGATGACGTTCACTTTGGATGTTGAATGTCCAAAACAACATCCAAAACATCATCCAAAAAAACTGAACCTCTCTAATAGTAGAAGATTCTCCCTACTTCAGTTGAATACACCATATTGCTAACTAGCGCCCGAGCCTGCGGAAGAGCTATGGCCGGGCTCGTCGAGAAGCCGGACCTCCAGAGCGGCAAGGAATCTTGTGTGCTGCTCGTCGCCCTGGGGTCTTTAGGCGACGCCCTGCCCCTCGTCGCCCTCGCCGACGCGCTCTGCGGGCTGCTGGCGCGCGTGCGCGTCGTCGTGAGCGCCGAGACCTACGCGCGCTCGCACAGATCCTGGATGACGACACGAGCCTTGAGCGCGTGTCGGCGCTGTCGCCGGCGACGGGCGTCTCCGGGGGTGTCGCGGACGGCGGCGACGCCGCGGCGCGCGCGTGCGCCGCGAGTGCGGAGCTCGAGCTCATCTACGAGGCCGCGCTGCTACTCAAACGACCGGCTGATTTCCCCGACAGCTATCGCACGTGACGGGGCAGGTGGCGATGACCTCATCCACATCCACGACGCCGGCGAACTGGCCGTTTTTGGCGTCTTCGCAGGTGTCGTGCCCGCCCGTCGCCAAGATGAAGGCTATATCCGCGCATCCAAAGCCGAACCACGTGGCATCGGGATCGTCCACGCACGCAACGGTCGGCGCGGGGGGCACGTGCGGAGTCGGTACCAAAGTGGGCGCTCGGGTGGACGTCGGCGCCGCCGACGACGTCGGTTGGCTCGACGGGTTCATCAAGCACCCCTTTTCGCCGCGTCCGTCGCCGCCCGCCAATTCTTCGAGACAGCACGTGACGACCCCGGCTCCAACCAGGCCGTCGAAGGCCTCGGGGAGATCCGGCGTCTCCCCGTCGCAGCACTTGTTCGCGTAGAGGTGAACTTCTTCGAGCTCGGAGGCGTTTAGGAGACTCGGGGGGAGCTCGGAGACGGAATTGACCTCGAGCCAGAGGCCCTGGAGCGGGTTAGCCACGGGGGTGTTATCGTAGCGTCTTTTGCGCCCGACGCCCTCCGGGAGATCTAGAAGCTGATTGCCCGCGAGCTTGAGCTTCTCGATGGATCTCGCGTACGCGATGTCCTCGCTGATCGTACTAATCGAATTGTACTGCAAGTCCAACTTTCTGAGATGTTCTAGCTCACCGATGGCCTCGGAAACGGTCTCGATCCTGTTGTACGCGAGGTCCAGCTCCATCGTCGCGGAACTCGATTCGTTGACGCGAGGTCCGAAGGTGGTCGGCAGCGACGTTATTTTGTTGTTTCTCAGGAAAATGTTCGTAACAGCGCGCTGCGCTGGATTGAATGTGGCGTCTTCTTCGGTCGATGTAAAAAGGATGTTTCTCATCACTTTATTGCTCTCGTCGTAATCGAATTCGACTTCTCGCATGCGGAACCCAAAATATTCGCACGCCTTTTGACTGGTAAGCATCGGCGGGTATTCGGAAAGCTTGTTATTTTCAGACCCGAGTACGATGAGCGCCGCGCTAAAACTGGCGGGGAGCGTCTTGAGCTTGTTGTCGGAGACGTGGAGGTGGTAGAGTCTGTGCCATTTCGCGAGGCCCCACGTTTCCGGCAGCGCCTTGAGATAGTTCCCCCGAACACTGATGTACATGGGGCAATTCCAGTCCTCCGTACCAACCTGGTCCGACCGTAGCTCGGGCAGCACCTTGAGATTGTTGTAATCCAGGAACAACGTGATCGACGGGTATCGGGTCCATCCGAGCGCTCCGGCCGCGCTCGTGCCGGGACCGACATCCACGAGCTCGTTATATGCCAGATCAAGATCATCGAGGCTGATGAGATCTCCCATACAATCCGGCAACCCGTCGAGGAGGTTGCGCCGGAGCTTGAGCGTTTCCAGCTCCGCGAGCGCGCAGACGGCCGACGTCAACCTTCCGTCGATGAGATTGCGGGATAAATCCAGGGTTTTCAAAGATGTCAGCTTGTCGAGCCATTCTGGCTGGTCAGGAATCTGATTCATCGACAAGTCGAGGTCCAAGAGCTTTGTGAGTGGTCCCAAGTCGGGAACGGCGGTCAGGTCGTTCCCCGTCGCGTGGAGCTTCAAGAGGTCGGTCAATTTGAGCAGGCTATCCGGGAGCTCCTGCAAATGGTTCCCGCTCACGTCGAGGCTTTCCAAGTGCCTCAAATCCCCGAGGGAATCGGGCAGGACCGCCAGCTCGTTCTCCGGCGCTGCGAGCGATTCGAGCAGAACGAAGCGCTCGACCAAGTCGCCCACGTCCCGCACGCGCGAGCCCGTGAGATCCAGTTCGCGCGTGTTATAGAAGCGACTCGTGAGGTATTGGGGCACTTCATCCCAGTTGCGATGGCGGCTCTGGAGCGTGCTCTGGGCGCAGACGACCGTCCCCCAGAGCGTGTGAATCGCGTCGCTGTGCAGGCTCGCGCCGATACCCTGCTCTCTCCAAATCTGAGCCTCCCACAACGGGCAAATGCCACGAACACCGCTTTTGCACTCCTGACAATCCCCTCTTTCCATATTGGCGCCCTCGGCGCAACCGAATTCGCTCGTCGAACCTTCGTGCCCTTTGGGGAACGTCCAGTCGAAGGCAATCGTCTTGCAGATATCGCTGACGAGCTCGTATCCGTCATCTTCTTCGGAGGCCGATGCAACGAGCGCCGTCACCGCGATACCCGTGGCGAGGCTGAGGACCCATACGACGCCGAGGGCAAAAATGCTCCTGCGCGATGTGATGGATGTTTCCTGCTTGCCTCCGAAGTCGGTGGTCGAGCTGGCGACCTCGTTGCGTATGTCGGAGGTGCCACCGTTCGCGGCCTCGACCCGAGGGACGTCCGCGGTCTCGGCGTCGTTAATCTGCGAAGCCGCGTCCGTAGTGTCGATATCTAGCTCGGGGGTAGACGGCTTCGGGACGCTAGCATTCTCCACGTCACGCTCCAATACGCCGTCCTTGCTTGAGGACAGATTTGCCGCCTTGCTCGAGTCATCTTTGCTTGGGATCGCGACAAATAGTGGGCTATCCATGTCAGCCTTGCTCGAAGGCGCATCGAACAGCGGCCTGTCCGTGTCGGGTTCAGGTGCGTTCTCCTTGCTTTCTTTGTACGAAACCAGAGGGTTCGCCGCGTCAGGCTCCGGTTCGCCCCCCCAATTAGTCGCACCGCGCTCGGGAGCGACTGCTTCATCCTTGCTCGAGGACTCGAGACAGCCCGATTCCTCGTCGTTTGCGTCGGGAGACGAGGGAGCGCCGGCGGCGATTTTCGCGAGGTGATTCCGGCGGTACGCGACGCCCTCTTTTGCCCCGATCGGGAAATGGAGCAAGAAAGGGATGAACGGGAAGACGTCGAGAAAGATGTCGGCCACGGAGTTGGACACGAGGATCGGCGGCAGATGATCCCCGAGGACTCTCGCGTTCCTCGCGCTTTCCATGTGCGCCACGGAGAGGGCCCAGAACGCGTACGCGAGCTCGAGAACCGCGTCAAGGATCACCTGCCTGAGCGAAAATCCACGGAACACGAGCAGCGACGCGGTCAAGCAGCAGTTGATTATGAGAAGCCATACCTACGGCCAGTTTTCTTTCAAAACGCTCGTGTGGTCAGAAAACGCCGCGCCGCGCCAGGATCATGATTGCGAGCCCTTCATCCCCTCGCATCGCGGCGTTGGCTACGATGACATGGTACTCTTCCGAGTCTCGGCCGCGCATCCAGAGCTCGATGGGGTCCAGGCCGCTCCAGCGCACAACCTGGTACGTCTGTACGGCGATTTCGAGAATCTCGAAAACGATGATCAACGTGACAATCGAGCGCTTGCTTAGGAAGACCATGACGACGACAATTCCACTCGCAGCGATGCCGAGGATCCCCGAGGGGCCGGACCCCCGACCGGCGAAGGCCGACAAGCCGACTACCGCGACGAGCGTTCCAAACTCTACCGCATTTGGACCGATTACCTCCAGGCCCTTGACGAACACCGTGCGACACATGGCGTCGCATTGGAATTTCTTAATTTTGGCCCGCTCGAGGCCATAGAAACGCTTCCAACCCCGCGTCATCTGCCAAACGACGCCCAAGCTCCAGAAGCCCAGCGCAAAGTAGAGCGCGGCGGCGACCAGGACTGCCGCATGCTCGTGATCGTACGCGAGCCAACGGCCCTGATATCGGTAGTTATCCGAGTGCAAATAGTCGTAGTCGGAATTCGGCATGTTCTTGTCCGCCCCGAGCGGGAGGTATCCGGCCCACATGTCCGTGTACGCGTCCACTCCGGCCGATTTCCACGAGGACATGATCTTGTCCCGCCATCGAGACCTGAGTCGGATCTGACCGAGGAGGCGAGAAGTGACGCCGCAAAGCAAACCTGCGGTTCCTGCTCAAAAGGTAAAGCGCGATCGCATTCGCGGCGAGGCCGAACAGGATCGCGGCGACACCTAGGAAGACGAGAGGAAAGAGGACGCCCACGGGCCCGAGTGACTCGTAGAATTTCTCAATGTGTAACTCCTGCTTAACCTCGTCGACGTGCCCACCATCATGCGCATCAATAGCCCTCGACGGGATTTCTGCAGAGGGACCCTCACACTCGACTCGATACTTTCTGCTGCGCGTGCTCATCTCGTTCAATCGATGTCCCGGTTTGCCGCAAGCTCCGGCGAATCAGGACGTGCGGCGGTCTATTCGGGCATAGACTACAATAATAGCTTAGCTAAAGCTCCACGGCCGCCGGTGACGGCCAAGACGGCCTTTTGTGGGCACAGTCCCAGCCCCCCCAGGACACCTCCGGCCAGTGTAACCTGCAAGAATCCAAGTATCCTTGACGACGATGAGAACAAAAGAAAACCGTAGAGGCTAAGAAACCAAAATGCTACGTGTTGGGATTGGCTTCAAACTGGCCCAGAGTATCATTAGCGCAGCTGCGATGAACCGCTGGAGTGGATGCGGTTTAGTGCGACATTGGATGCACAACCGCTCTTCCTTCCCAGCGGGCTGGACCCACATATTTAAGCGTGCTATATCGCATTCGCAGTTCGGTCAAGATCTGATTGTCCTAAGCTTGACTCACGCATTGAATAAGGGTATTCAAGAGCCATTTTCATATATAGATCTTGCCGCAAATGATGCCCGAAGAGGATCAAACACATATCTACTTGATGCTTGTTTTGGTTGGACAGGAATCTGTGTAGAGCCGAACCAGATGTATGGTGCAGGTATCGTGGCGACACGCTCCTGTGCTCTCACCGAGAAATGTGTCTCGAACAACAGCCGCGAGGTTGAATTCATGAACAATTTTTATCTGGGACACATCGTTACTCGCAATTTACAAAATGTAATTATGCGCTGCACAACGTTGCAGAATGTTCTCGACCATCATTCAACACCGCCATTTTTTAAGGTAAGCAATCCCGCACCCAAAGCTCGTATCTCGTATCTATCATTGGACATCGAGGGGCACGAGCTGCAAGCTCTTCAGGGCGTCGACTGGAATAGGACAACCATTGATATAATTAGCATCGAGAATGCTGGGTTGGAGCATATACGATACCTTTCTAATTTTGGGCACGTGCCTACAATGTGCGCGGGTATCGATATGATATTTGTTCGGCATCAGCTACTCGATGCGACATTGTTGTGGTACGCTGAAAATCGGGCGCAACTTCATCCGCTCTGCGTTCAAGCAGACATCTCGAAATGTAAGCTCGGTAGTGGCAGTGCCAACTTCTTCGACTGCTCATTGAAAGTTGGATTCTGGAATTCTTGGCAATGACGTACGCTCCACCAAGTATACGGCGTGGGCCCGCCTCGCCAGTAAGCGTCCCACCGTCAACTTGGTTTCATCCACAAAAAGAGGAACAACGGTTGATCAAGGGAGTTGCTCTCGCGTGCACTAGCAGGACGCACGGTATTTCACGCGCCCTTCCCGGCAGCAAACAAATACCTGCAGAGACGTGGCAAGGCCGGCAAGCGGTTGAGATTCTACCGCATGGCAAACAAATTATCAAGGGGGACCCACCCGATATTGCGCTCCCGGTACCATCTTCGGTGACCTTGTATCTCAGAGACCGGGCTAACTCAAGCCGGAGAGCAGGCGTAGCTACATGATCTCCTCCGAGTGAGCGCGCCCGAGCTTCACAAACAGAAATCGCATGAACCGCAATGGCAAGTCTTGAAGGGACTTGAAGGGTGCCTCATACACGAATTCATTTAAAACCACACAGCCACCGCGGGCGCCTCACAAGGAGCTGCCGCCAAGATCCTTCAGCCGTCCCCGTCGCTACGTCGTCTAAGCGAGCGTTAAGCTCTTCCTCCGGAGGTCGCACGTACTCCGGAAATAATGACCTCTGCGATCCTGAAATGACAGGAGCGATCGCTGTGTCTCTCATGTTCACCATTCAAAATCTCAAGGCGACACACAATGGTCTGCTAAGGGCTATTTGAAATAATGCCACTTTGATCAGGGGAGGTGTCTTGTGAGGACTACCACCGAGAATGCCTAGTAGAAACTCAAGGATAGCACGGCACTCTGCGGAACCACCTGCTTTCGCCGTCACTATCGCTCGAATCATCTTCATATGCCACTTTCGCTTTTTCGGTTTCTCTTCGGGCTTTTCGCGTTTTATCACAATCTCGTCCTCAGATGACGAGGATCGTCTAAAACCCATCGTCGAACTCGAACCAGTCGTTGGAACTGTAATCAAGAATGTTGCTGTTCACGTCTTTGTGCTCGGTACCGTCGTAGCGATTGAGGTAGGTGCGTGTACGGGAAACATGTAGTACCGCCGTAAGGCAATTTTTCAAGCCCAACCACCACTCTCCTTTGGCACGGGAGAAGCCCACCTCACGCTGGCGGAGGTGGCTGCGCCGTCCAAGCGCGGTCCGTGGCCTCCATTCCTGGCATTTACAATCAATCGAGCTCTGCTTCCCCTTGGGGGGACTCACCTTGCCTATTTTACTTCGAGCTAGTTGGAGCTTCGAAAGGCCAAATGGACGGAAATAGACTTCTAAATGGAAGGACTGCACTGAGCGCGGAAGCTTCAGCGTGGTGTCATGGTGTCATGGCAATGAATGTCACTTATCTCCCCATATCATTAATAGGGCAATTGAAGACTTGCAATACACTACACTCCAACTCAGAAACTGGAGTCCCGGCGCCCTCGATTGGCGGGCGCTCCACACGACAGGGCATCCGCGCGTCGGCGTCCCGGACTTTCGCTTTTTCGGTTCAGGGAAAACAACTAGACGATTCTCACGCACCAACTGGTGCACCGCCCGACCGATGTTATCCATCTGCCGTCCCGGCGAAAACTTCCTCACGTCTAGGGGCAGGTCCCCACGAAATATCCGAGAGTCTCAAAGGCTAGCCTTTGCAGCACCCCTGGGAAGGTGCCGCGGGCAGGCGGGTTTTCCGTGAAGCCCACGGCCGCCGCCAGAAACGCCTCCAGCGGAAGGCTCCCACCGCGGCCTGTTCAATGAACGGGCGCCCATGCAGCTCCCGGACCGGCGGGACTGGGTTGGATATAAGCATGGCCGCCGTCGCTCGGACCTACACTATGCCCCCCTTCTCAGAAAAATCCCACCGGCGGGCTGCTATAGCAGCGCCGGCCAGATAAGAGCATAAGGAGCGAGTATCGACTGGGCTGCAATAATAGCAGCTCATTCTCTCTCTCCCCTTTGAGCGCTACTTTCCTGGCTAATCGAAGATTAGCTGTACCGCTATTATTTATCACGACTTGAAGTGACCGATGAGGTCCTGATGAGGATTCTTCTCTCACGCGTCGAGAAACCTTTCGAGATCTGCCGGGCAACATGCCGTAAACCAAGCGATTGATACGCGCGCGCGGCGCCGAAATCGTCACGCCCCGCGGAGCCGGGTTTTGACGCGATGGGGCTGAANCTGGTGGTT